ACTGCCGTTATATCTGCTGTTCCTTCCCATGTCTTTTGTGCGCATTAATGTTCTTTTTCTTTTGGCTTAACCGAGAGCTTGAAAAATGATTATTCAGTTTTAGTTATTTTTTGTAAACTTGTTGTTGCTTCTTGTTGTTGTTTCCTTTGTTCTCACCTTTTTTAATCTAAAATTAAGCACGACTTTTTGTTGTTGTTATTATATTTTATAATTAATTTTGATGTTTTTATAATTGTAGATATTCCCGCATTTATAATTTATTTCCCTATACTCGTATGTACATATACAGGTTAACACATTTTGCGGTTTCGAAAAGTAATTGTAAAGAAAATGCTTTTAAAATATGTTTTTTATTTTTCAGAAATTTCATTTTTATTATAAATTTTTACCCTTGGCATACCGAATTTTCGAAAACTTCGATCTGTTTGCGGTAGCTTTCGTCCATTTTTTGGCATATACATATGTATTGGGCGGTATCTCAGCCATAACTTGACGAATTTTTATTTTCAAGTGCCCAAATAACACGATCTCGGTGGCCAATTGATTTCGCCATGACGAGAGATTACGCGACCGGAAAATCTCTCTCGCAAGAAAACCATATTCGCTTGTCTTGCGTAGCATGTCGTGTTCGTATTGTGTTGAGCTGAGCTGATGCGGCTACTGTTACCAGCACACTAAGACCAACACGCCCGCTGTGATACCGCTGAGGCTCCTGCCTTCACCTTCTCAGATTAGAGAACCATTTCGTGTGCCTCATAAAGGCAACGAGATTTCCAATATTCGTTGGGGCGATCTCAGCGAGACAATCGAAGAAATGTTTCCCAAAAAATTTGTATCGTGCTGATATCAAGGCTGGACAGTGGCATAGGTAGTGCTCAATGGTCTCCTCCTCTTCTTCATCCCTGCAGCTGCAGCAGAAATCATTAGAATGATATCCCATTATTTTGCCGTAAAGCGCCATTAAACAGTGTCCAATTATTATGCCTGTCATACTAATGGAGAACCGGTCTAGAAGGATACGATGTTTAGATTTTTTCGCTTTTATTTCCAGCTTCGGCCATAGCTGTTTGGTCACGTTACACGTAATCTCGTTCAGCCATCTTGAGTCAGCTTCTCTGGTAAAAGCCAGTTTAGGCATGTGGACAGAGATAAACCAGCATCGTGTGCATGCTTTACCGTGGGTAGAAGGGTTCCCTCCCCTGCTAATTTGTCCGCCATGCAGTTGCCTGGGATGTCTCTTTGTCTTGGTACCCAGGCCAGCTGGTACTTGATTGAAGGTTTGTTGAGTTTGCTTCTGAATTCCTGTGATTGCTGAGCGAGTTTTTTCCAATGTTCCATTTGAAGAAAGAGATAAGTCTGACTGTTTCGTCACAGTCAGTGCCCTCTCTCCGAAGCTGTTATCATTATAGGCGATAGTTGGCCTTTCGGGTTGAAAAGTTTCGTAACTGCCGTTAAAATTTGTCGTTTCGGCGCAGATTTTGCAACGAGAAGTGGTTCAATGAAATCTGAAAAGCTGTCTGTGTGTGTGAGTGCGTTCCATCTTATTCCGACAGTTTTTGTCGAGCTAACTTATTGAAATAGGTGGAATTCAGGGTCTAGGAGATGAGAATATGGTGCATCGTTTAATACACTGTTGTTTGCTATTATTTTCCTAAGCGAAAATTGAGTTGATTTGAGTACTACGATAATTTGAATGATTGATATTTTTGCTGACTCTGGATCATGTCCGCGCAAAACGGTGACGTTGAAGGTAGACACATTTGAATCACATTAACCTGCCTATCTGTTAACTAAAGCAAAACATGTTTCGTTCAACAGTTAGGTTTGACAGAAGTCAAAATATAGAACCACACTGTTGAAACCACGAAATGGGTAACCTTCCATAATCACTAGCCATATTAATATATTTAGATTTTCTACGTTTGATCCCAATAAGCAAACTCATGAGTACATAAATATATATTATAAATACTTTTTTTCCCCACCGATTTGTATGCTAATTCTTGTGATTGTAAGTGTTTTGACCCAAATACCGTGTGGAAATTACTTGATGTCTTCGCTGTGTTGTTTCTTCATGCTGTTGTAGCTGATGGTCTGGTCTTGATGCCAACAAACTGGTTTCTACATACACGCACATACTCGTATATACATAAATAACATATTTACACATAAGAATTATTAATAAATAATAATTATTATACTATAAATAAATATATACTCGTATATGTAAATTATAGATGAAATTCTTATTCTTTCGAATTTTAAAGAGATAAAAGATTTATTCCAATCACTGAACCGTTGTGATGTTAATAAAATCCATGAATTGAGTAAAAGTGTTAAATTGTATTTGAAACGTCAACGGCACTCATCTCGACACACTTACTCGCTTATTTACCGTCAAATGCAAGAAACTTACCAATAAATACCTGAAAGTAAGAGTATGAATCGATAAGAGAAGTTCTGTGCGGATGAATATACCCACTTAAAGTTTCCGGTTGATATAGTTGTCTAACCTTGAGATATGCTTCCAGCTGAAAGCTTTTCTAAACTTTCGAATTTCGATAACCAGCTTCGACGACTTTTTGTAATCGAAAATTTCAAACGAAAAATAGGAGTGTGAGTCCTTGTGAAATCTGCCACAGCAGCCATACAAAGGTGCAAAAATTTGGTGTTCAATTTGTGGTAAGAGAGAGAGACTCCATCACTGAGTCCTGGTATTAAGACAAATTGAACTTATCGTCGGCTAGCGCTCACACCCCGACGAAAGATGAGGACGATATAAACAAAGCTGCTTGCTATGTGCGCCTAGAACGTGCCAGACCATAGCCGAGTTAGGAGTTCTTTTCCACAGTGAGCAAACAAGGTACTCTCGGCCCAACAGTTGGAGCCCAAAATATGTTTGTAGCGTTAAATAGCTTATTTACCCCTTTTAAATATATATAATATATATAATATCACCTGTAAGGCGGATACTTATTTCAGATCTTTGGATTAATTTTCTTATAATCCCATGAAAAAATGTTTTCTCTTTCTTTTGTCTCCTTCACTTGATCAGCGGTGATAAATTGTTTACCTCTCAGCACATTTTTAATTTTTGGAAACAGGTAATAATCACTTTGGATGAGGGCTGTGCTCTGGAGTGGTTGATTCAGTATATCGAAGCCTACCTTATGCAGGGTACCAACGTAACGCGGCTTTTGTGAGCGATTTTTTTTTTTTTTTTTGGGAGAAGTGAGTATTATCGACACTCACTGATCTGAGCTGATTTTAGACATGCCAAGATGATCATGCAAGATGGTTGCGTGTGCTTACACAATTTCTACGAGGCGTGGTGATCTCGATGTTGGTTCTTAGCAGGGATCGAGAGTCGCGTAAACAAATCCATCATGTTGGGAAAGACGGAAAATATGAGTATTTTAGATGTGCTTTGGGTATTGATGATCTAAGTTCGGCTAATATCATTATCCATCTTATTAAGCAAAGAGCGGTCCTCTGCAAACCTATCGAAAGGATGCAACCGCAGCAGGCAATCAACCGGTTTTCTCCATGACTTTCGCTCCCGCTTTCTGATATCACTCATCAGTAACTCGATATCCTCCCAACAAAAATAATGTGGCTAGAGAAACAATTGGTTTACTAAAGACGAGCTGGACCGCATCATACTCATTAAGAAACCTATGAAGTGACCTATGAACATAATATGCTGAAGATGTCATGTAGAGAATACTTCTCCAATGATATTGAATGGCAAGCGCCTTTTTGGTTCATTATGATCCAACGATAAGGAGCATTTCATCTTCACAAAAGTGCGAATCTTTTGACGTGTCCAATAAATTCTGTGTGGTTTTTGATAATTGCTGTGGTTGGCACAGCGTGTCGGTCGAAATAGGCTTTCCTTCAGAAGTCATTAATCTACCGCTAGTTCTCTTTAAACCGTCTCCTGTAACTACACCAGTTGTGATAAGAATGAAGAAATTAAATTATTGAACTCTTAGCGCTGACCAGATCTGCCTTACTGAGTAGTTTCATTACGTTTTCCGCTATTGGCATTTTTAACGATTTAGTATGTATATAAATTATGATTCCTCGTCTCATAAGCTCGTTTGCCCCACAGCTACTTGGTACACCATAATACGCAGGGGCAACTAGATGGTGGCAGAGCGACATTTCCTCGATAATCTATTTTGAATGATTCTACATTTTCTTGCCACTTTTAACGTGATATAGTCTCAACGAAGAGAACTGATGGCAGCTTGGCTGGCAGAGCATATGGTAATATGCTGAGTGATCGCAGATTTAATTGAGTCTTTCGGCGACTTCTGTGATTGCATTAAATTCTTCTTGAAAGACACTGCAGTATTTCGGTAATCTCAAATTCAAGTTGAATGAGAGTGATGAGAGTGGATCTCGCACACGATCCTATCATTTAGCTTTCGGGTGTTTAAAGCTATTGTCACTTAATCTAAAATATTTGGATTTTCCTTTTCATTCATTTCCTCTCAATGAACCTTGTAGAGAAGAGATTCTCAAAACAAAATTAAGAGATTGGAAGGTGAGATATTATCCTGGTATGTCATTGGTGCTTCCAAGGCTAAAGTTGCATTCAGTATAAATGAATTGGCGGGGGTTGAATAGAAGATCTCGAAGTATAAGAACAGCCGCTGACCTATGAACTCTGTCAAGTTTATTCCTAAGTGTTACTTCATCTATTGCAGGACACCAAACGAACTTAAACCTCAATGGTAGACACCCCTTAAAAGTGCATACGGCAGTGTGTTTCTGCAATTTTCTATCGAAGATTTCCAAAGTATTTGACCTCAGCAGAGACGCCGATCTTCGTGTCATTTATTAGGGGAGGTTTAAACTAAAGGGGCTTGTACCTCCTGTTGGATAACACTGGAGCGTATTTTTTTTTACTTACCATTACAAAAATAACTACTTAGATATATTGCCTTTTGGTATCACTTATGTTTTTATAAGATTTTTCTCTTTCTTTCCAGTTAACCACACATAACCCGAAGTGCCGACTTATGTCCCAACCAAGCCAGTAAGCAGAGCATATCTCCCCTAAAAAAAAAATTACTGAACAATTTTCGTATATACCCTGAAATCCTCAAAAATTACGCTCTTGTCACCGCAAGAAACACAAAAACAAAATTACTCGTATGCACCGTTGAAGACAATGAAGTATTGCAGCATGAACGGACCAAGCGAATCTGAAGTTGAAAGCTTACTTATGAGTCCATGCTGGGGTCCAACACAGAACGGCAGCCAGGATCAATATCTGCTTGATGGCCATAAACTGTTACTTGAACACGATTTAGATTCGCTGCCGAGTGACACGGAACAGAAGAATTCCCTGGATGTACTCGATAATCTACTATTGAACACATCTTCCCTGAATGCACTTTCAGATTTGAAACCACTACCACCGTTTACCGGCTATACGGGGCATTTGTCCATTAACGGCATCTCGGGACATCATTATCATGCAATCGCACAGAGGCTACCAGATGAGAGTAACAACAATTACATTCAAAGCGCCTATCAGACAAATCATACGGGGGGCAGTGGTAATGGTACCACAAGCATACAGTTGGCGGCGGCGACGTCGGGCACATCACCGCTACCCTCGTTGTCGAGTGGCGGTGGTGGCGGCGGCGGCGGCGGCGGTGGTGGTAGTGGTGGTGGTGCCAACAGTCATGGATCTTCAGCCGATCACAACATAGTTTCCTCGTCTACTTGCCTGCCAGAGAGTGTTTTGAGTCCCGATGCGGACGCCTGCCTGAACGATGTGAAACTCTTCGCTGATAGTCAACTAGATAATAAGCTCTACTCAATGGCCGACAGTTGTGTTATGTCGGCAGGTGGCGCGAGTGGCCTTGGTGGTGGTAGTGGCGGTGTGGTGAACAATGGTATGGTAGGCGGTGGCGATCAAGGCACAGATTCGCTGCACAGTAGTGTACGCATTTATACCGACGCCAAAGATCTGTCCGAATATGTAGATATGAACTCCATAGACGATATAGCGGCTATTATAGGTTCAGCGATAGCAGACACAACAGTGCCAAATCAGCTGGACAAGGATGATGGTAATGACACGCGCGACTCATGGATGGATTTAGATGCGTGGATCGATGGGAATTGTATACAACAGGATGGTAAACTTCTAGTGTCGCAACAGGATACGCTTAGCGAATTTATCTTGCCACACTCGCCCGTGCATCCGAGTTCAACGCTACAGAACTTACTGACGCATGGTTATATGCCCTTTCTGCAGAATAGATTACAAAATGGACCACCACAACACCAAACACAATCGAATAACTCAACAGCGCTGAAAAGTGAAGCACCCAGCTCTACCTCATACTGCAACGAACTGCCCACAGCGACATCCACCTCAAGTCCGCCGGGTTCCGTTGTCTCGACCACGGATAACCTAATGATCAATCCACGCTATCTCACCAATCCACAGCAATACCAAGTCACCATGTCATCGATGAAATCAGATGGACTCTGCAGTCCCGAAATGTTGGGCAATTATCCGCATACGACGACCATCACACCCACCGGTACGCCGAAAACGAAGCGATCACGTTCTCAAAAGAAGTCCAGTCAGCAACAGCAATCGCACGGGCAGTCCAATAATGGCGGTCTAGGACCGCCACAACTCAACGCAATTTCACCGTCTTCCGTCAACTTCAGCGCCAATGACTTATCCGGTCTGCTGGGCAAAGAGAAGCCTGTGCATCGGTGTAGCATATGTAATCGGGGTTTTCTCAATAAAAGCAACATCAAGGTACACCTGCGTACGCATACGGGCGAGAAACCGTTCCGTTGTGATGTTTGCGCCAAAGCGTTTCGACAGAAGGCGCACTTGCTCAAACATCAACAGATACATAAGAGAATTGGGCGTGACTGACACGATGCGCGCGAGTCTCACGAACAGCATGAAAATGTCGTTGTGATGCAAGCAAATATGCGAGCGTTCAAGCCCAAATCTACAAAATCGTTGCGTCTGAAAGTGGCCTGAGTGTGGGTGTGTGAGTATATGTATATGTATATATGTATATATATATGAGTGTACGTAATTGCGTATAAAGTTCAGGAGTACTTGAAAATTCTAAATTTTCCAATACTCGAAAGCCAGTACTAGCGTATTTAGCTGTTTTGTGGCTACACGTAAGGGTCGCCATATTAGAGCTAAACACCAAACTCACCACACATCAGCACTATCAGAGGCAGCGTAGAGTTCATTGAGTAAATTGGAATGATGGCAATACTGTTCTGAGTTTAAGAGGCGTCTATTGAGTGCTCTTAAAGTTCACTTTCTCTGTCAGCCACCGACTCTCAGGGAGTATTCTCTCAATTCGATTTTCTTCAATGAACGAGTGCGTGTTGCGTATTCCTAAGTGCATAAATATGTACGTGTGTAAACACTACATAAAATGAGGTGAGTATTTTCTGTACGATTGATTTAACTACATTTGGAAACCACTTATATTCCATGGAATGAGAGTACAATCTTTTGTAGTTTCTTTGATAACAAAATTACTCACGTTTCTATTTTTAAGCATAATTTGTATTTATATACATTTTAAGCGACTTCTACGGAATATGAAACACGCAGTCAATATTTGTTATTCGTTGTTGTTGGTTGCTTTTGATCTCTTTAGTTATACTCAACCTAATTATAGGCACATTGTTGAAGGTGATGGGCGTTGCAGTTACATATATACGTATTTTGAGAGTGCCAGGAGCTGCTTAAAATTCAGATTTAAGCTAGGTGGAACTGACTGGCTCTCATTTAGACGGTACTACGTTGACAGTGTTGCCAGATACACAATCAGAGCTGCACTTTATTGACTCTTTTGAGCGCCTCTAGTAGGAAGAGCATTGTTGTTCTCTTCGCAAATTTAAGTAGTTACATATGCTCTTTGTCATTTGCTGATTGAAGGTCCTGCCACTTTTTTTTGGACAAGTAACCAAAGCCTCTGCCTAAAAAATTTTAAAACAGTAAGATTATCATAAAAAATTTGAAATTTTAGTTTAAAAAAAATCCAAATCACAGTTTGTATTTTATTTATGTGATGACTAACAGCGTTTGAAAAATCCATTTGCCCTCAGTTGTAAAGTCTTTTGAAAAACTACTCTAAATTCGAAAAACCTTCTCTAACATTGAAGTGAACAAGCTCTTTTTGTATACACGGTCTCTCAGAGCTTTTACTACTTTATGCGAGAGATAAACTCAAAAGTTCAAAATAAATATAGGCAAAAATTTAAATTTTATGTTTGAAGATGGCATTTCAAAATTGTTTTGCGTGCAAAATTTGATAAGAAGCTGGGTTGTAGTTAATATATGTAAGACATTTGACTTCGAGACTTCGATCAACGACTAAAATTTTTATGCCCAGGTCTGATGAGAGATAACTTTGCAGCTGATGTCTCTCATTAAAGCTATTGTTTTTGATAAAAACTCAATTTCACAGAAAGCTTCAGTTTTTCACAAAAGCTAATAAAAGATTCAGGTTCTCGTGAAAGCTTCTGTTTCTCTTGAAATCTTCTATTTCAAATGAAAGCTTGGGTTTCTAACAAAAGCTAGTTTTTATGAAAGCTTCTGACAAAGGTTCAGTTTCTGTGAAAGCTCTGTTTTTATGAAAGCTTTAAATTTATATGAAAGCTCTAGTTTTTAATGAAAGCTCTAGTTTTTATGAAAGCTCTGGTTTTTTTTTATGAAAGCTGTAGTTCTTTTTATGAAAGCTCTGTTTTTTTATGAAAGCTCTAGTTTCTCATAAAATCTCCAGTCTCATGAAAATTTATTATGGAGGCTAGAACTTTTAGCAAATAGAAACCCCACAAATCCGAATGCGTACAATCTGCAATAAGAAACATTTTTTGGCTTAAAAAGCTGTTGCTTAACTCGACTTAGGTCATTAGGCTGGAGAATAGCGTAGTAATTTAATGACTGGTTTGAGTATAAACTCGAAGAGAGCACAAGCAATGTAAGAACAACGGAGCGTCCAATTGTCTTTTTGCAACTGTTGTTCCGTTTTGTTGCAAGTGTGCGCTCTACCATCGAAGCCAATTTAGTGTTGGCGTATTTATTTAGATGAAATCTATATTATAACTATTTTTTGTTCAACTTTAAAATGAATTATTTAAAATCATAGATAATAGTATAGCATATGTAAATGTAAGTTCATATAACAGTGTGTAAAAATTAAATGAAACTACAATATTAACATAAGTTGTGCAGAAACAAATTTTGTAAAATACTACATGCGCCCGATACGTGGTGTAAAAGAGAGCAGAGAAAGTGTACCTCAAAATGGAAAATATTTCATAAAAGTAATTAAGCAATGAAATAAAGCAAACAAATAATTTAAAAAACAATTTAAAAATAATTATAAATTATATTAATTAATTTACTTATAAGTTTCAAGCAATAATGTACAAACAAATATGCAATAAAAAAACGTAAAAAATTAATTAATAAAATAAAGTTGCAATAAAAGCAAAAACAAATGCATATTTTATAAATTATTGTAGTAAACTTTGTAGCAATCATCTAAAAATTAAAAAAAAAATAATATTGAAATTAACAGAGTAATTTTGTAACAGCCCTGGTGGCACTGTGTAAAAAAAAACCTAAATTAAAGGAATTTTTCTAAAAAAAAATTTTAATATTAAAAAAAGTTTATTGATATTAAATTATACATTTCATTGAGAAAATATTAGCAACAAGGTAACTGCACTTACAATATTAATAAACGAAAATAAATTAGCCAATTATGACTTTTTTTCTTTAAATTTATGAAAATATTTTCCAAATCTATTTATATATATATATATGCTGCTTTTTCTAGTTTAACTGTAAAAAAATATAATGGAAAGTGATAATGTAAGTATGTAATAAATGCAATTATGTTATTAAGTAAACATACATGCATATATTCATATATAATATAAACCCATACATACATGTATATGTAAGTTAAAATTTCTAAAAGAAAAAATATCTTCTATGTAATTGAATAAAATTGTAAAATATTTATTATTTATTTTTAATTATTCACCTTTGTGCAATTATTTATTTAACTATATGTATAAACACCCACCATTCCACTTGATTATCTCAATGCAAGTATATACAATACACTTCCCCTCACCTTTCCGCTCATTTGGTATACAAAAAAAAAAATATATATATATATATATACAATATATATATAAATATATATATCTTTTAGAATTTTCTGAAAATGTAAATAATTCGTTACTTTTAGTGTATTTTAATTTTAAAATAAAGTTAATATTTAATGACGTTGCAAATTGTTTCTGAAAAGTTTTAGATTTATAAATACATATAAATTGCTTAAAAAAAGTAAACTTAACTTGAAACACAACTTATTTTGGCAGAAAGCAATATTTACTGGTAAGTGATGCCCCTGAATTGACTTTATTCGAAATTCTTTACAGAAGCAGAAGGATGGAGAAGAATCTCTCCAGCAATAAATCTTGAATTTTCCGAGCCCCAAATGCGACAGTTTTCCTTATTGACATAGCCATCGAGGTGGAAATGGGCCTCAGCAGTCAAGATGATTTTACTATGAAATTCTGGTATGATTATTTTCATGGATTGCAATTCCAAAGAACGCGAAGAAGGGCACAAAGCTAGTTTTTCATCAACACTTTGGGATTCAGCAGCAATATTCCATATTGTTCCAGTTATAGTCAAAGTATGACGTGCAGTCTCTTCCCGAAATAACAGGCTTATCCGAGGTTTAACCAAAGGCTTACAGCATGCACCGAAATTAATTCAAATTTCGAATTTTGACTAAAATATTTTTAGTCAAAACAACATTTCAGTCCAAAGTCGAAAGCAGGGAAATTTATTTCGGGCCTTGCCTAGTCAATCCTAGAAGCGTCTAATCTTCAAACCATTATTATTTCAGGAGGTTCACGCAACGTGATTTTAAATATATTTTAAACTATTCAAGATCATTTGAAAAATTTTTTGTTGACAGTTATATGGCCTGAACTGTTCATAGTGCACGACAAACCGCCTCACTCTCAAAGTCAGGGAAATATTGAATGAGAAAAAAATATTGTTTACCTGGATGGACAATAATAAAACTTATCGTTGTAGTGAGGGCCTCCGAAAATGTCAACTGATTGACGAAACTCCGATTTATGGAAATTCAGTTTCGGTTTTTGACTACCCAAATAACTTTCTCCGGATTTAAACAGAAAATTCGTTAGTCAAAGGCAGAAAAGCGTCAATTATTTTGATTTAGACTAAGAGTTTATTTCAGACCTGCGATTTGACCAGTCGTATCTGGATGTGCCATTGCCTCGATGTTTAATTACGACTTAACATTCTATGGTTTATGAAAAGATTTGTACTAAATATTTTTTTTCGAAGTGGATCACTGAACGATCTATTCAAAATAGTCAAAATTATTGTTCGCTATCCAAGCCAAAACTTACTGCCAAGAAAGTTTTGTTTTGTGTTGGCGGGAATTGTGGGATTCAGTTGTTCTTTTACGGCCAAAGTCTTCATTCGGGCTTGTACTGCCAGCAGTTGGATCGTCTGAAGGAAGTAATTCCACAGAAATGCCCTGCTTTGGTCAACAGGAGGGAAATTTTGGTTCATTAGAACAAGGCCAGAATCACATATCGATAGTGACTCACCAGTAGCTCCGCAAGCTTTGTTTAGAGGTTCGTATACATCCACCTTATAGTCCGGACCTCGCACCAAGTGATTACCATCCCTTTCTGTCCATGGCGAATAATTTGGCTGACGAAGAATAGGCCTCAAGAAAAGCATATGAGAATCATATGTTCCCCCAATAGGGGAAAAGGTTTTTTTTTAAGTGAGAATACAAAGCCTTCAATTTAGCACAAAAACAAGGGACAACTTATTACTTGACTAATATATAGGCCGCGAAATTTTAAGAAAAATATAATAAAATGTAATGGAACTTCTGTTCAACTCATTCCGTTCTCAAGTCCTGAAACATCTCTGGATGGTTAGCGTACCTCTTACACCTAACGACATCCTACAATAAATAGTCGAACGGATAAAATAAATTTTGAATTAAAAATAATTTATCCAAGTCAGCTTTGAATTGAAAGAAGCAAAATCGCTTTGGATGGTCATGTGGCTTCAATTCTGAGATCAATTGGACTTTTTAAGCTTCCACACCAAGATGGCGATCGCGATAGCCGAGTGGTTAGCATCGTGTAGTGCCATTCGGAATGTCAAGGTTCGGAGGGCAGAGCTTTGACAAACATTCAAAATTTATAGAAAATTAATTGGACTAAAAAATAAGTTCAATTTCCTAATAGCGGTCGCCCCTCGTCTAGAAATTTCAACCCCTCCAAGAGTATTTCTGACATTAAATCAAAAAGCCCCTCACACAAAACCATCAGCCGTTCAGAGGCGGCTTAGTATAAACTGAAGTTCCCTCTATTTGTTGGAAAAACATCAAGACGCAAAACCACAAATTGGAGGAGGAGCTCGGCCGAAAATCGGCTCAGTGGTTATAAAGCGCCAAGGTGACTCTTTGTCGTGTGAATTAGTTAATTTATTGCTGAAGAAAATAATACGAGCTCTAGAGTTGAAGTAGATGGAGAAGTACTAGAATTGCGCGCTATAATCGCGAAAGCAGGGTCTACGCGAGTAAGGAAGAAGAGTTAAATGATTTGATTAACAAACATAATGACAAACTTCGAATCATAATTAGAAAAGCCACTGATGATTTTCCCAGATCATCATGACATTGTTTCCAGCATTTTAGGTAAGAAAAGCGTGCCGAAATTGTTGAATATTGAAGCAAAACAGCGAGGCATTGAGTTGGTCAACAGTCATTAAATGAACTCAGCTACGATGCTGAATTACTGATTACTGCAAGATCTTACAGCAGGTAACCAAATAGGGGTTCAATGATATGATGGCGGTGCTATG